CCTTTCTCTTCTCAATTCCGATTGACCTTCATTCGTTGTTCCCTCTCCTCCCGCTCTTCACAATTAAATATATGCTTTAGATTCCGACCAGACAGATTATTTCAAGATCAAAGATAAAAGAAAACATTTTCATTAGCATTAATTAAAGTGTTCTGTTGCGAACGTCAATTTTTAATATTATTTAATAAATATATATATTTAAAATTCTATATTATTTGAAATGTAGGATGTTTTTAATTTGTATGAGAAAAATTGATGATGTTTTGTTAATAATTTTAAAATTATAAAGACAAATTTCATTTTCTTGAAATAAAAATAGTTATATATTAAAAAAAAAAGATTAATCGATTTTAATTGCTAATTTAAAAAATAAGTTAATATTAAATTTTAAAATAAATTTAATAAAAAATATAGATTTTTTTATACAGTATTTAATTCTTTTGTTCTTATATTATATAATATAATAATATTTAAAAAAATAAAGTTTAATGAAATGCGCATCTTTCTTAGCGCCTTTTATTGCCAACTTTACAAGACTATTCTAAAATACCTCATTCTCGTAGTGATACATCGATATATTTTCTTCATCAGATCTTCTTTATATTCACTTATTATCTTGTACATTTTATATGCTTTTGAAGCAAACACTTGTTTGTGTCATTTTAAAAGTTCACGTGTTACATGTAAATATCTCTTGTGCAAACTGTCCATAATTATAGGTAAACTCAATACCTTAATAAATTGTTCGTGCAGAAATCATACTGAAACTTGTCACGCACAATTTCAGATTCGAAAGTTCCCTTTTTATATAAAGTATATATGATAAAATAACAGAGAAAAATCACAATTGTAGTTCATATACAAAATGATTGGTATAATTGAACAGGAACTATAATTTTCAAATAATTACACTGTATACAGGAAATTTTGAGGATGCAATCATTCAGATAAAAATATTTGATTCTCGAAAAAATATTTGATTCTTTTAATCATATTTTTGAAAGTTCGTATTAATGTATTTATGCACTCTTCTTGTTGTTTATTTTTACACATTTCATCGATTAAATAAAATAGCACATAGAAATAATTTGCCATTGTTATTTAAAACAAGAATATATTTTATCTTTATGAAAATTGTTTAAGCTCTGGTTCACAATGCAATCACCAAATCACTATTCACAAATAAGGAATTGAATTTTGATTATAAGTATAATTAGATTAGTGAAGAATCACAAAGCTTTTGTTGGATAAAGCATTCATAAGAATCGGGCTTGTGTTTCCAAAACATTTTCATCTGTACAAAACCCATAAAACGTTCCACGCATGGCTCTCGCGAAATATCGAGTTTATGTTTTGAAACAGGTTCATAAACCATGTCTGTGTTGACATCATTAAAATTACTAACTGCTTCACATTTTGTTCTATGTATACAAATCACTAAATAAATATATCATCACTTAAAGAAAATAATATAATTTTCACAGACATATATATTATTACATATATTTTATAAACGATAAAAATAATTCGATACAATTAAAATTATAATATTTTTTATTAGTAGAATTATATACAGTGAGACAAATTCTATGAAAATTATAGGGAATTTCACTGACTTGTGTTAGCGAAACAAATATTTAAACGCACAGTTAGATTATATATCGATAAAAAAATGCCACTGATCAAACAAACATATACTCTCTGATTGCCGGCTTGAAACTTTATTTTTATGAAATCTTTTCGTTTATACCGAATCAACGAAACGAGCATAAAAACAGGGGCCGAAGGAACGGTTCGGTTGAATGTGAATACGACAAAGGATGCCGAGGAAGACCTATGCCCCATACAACGTACACGGTAAGACTGAAACTACACAGTGACCGTAGAGCCAAGGGAGAGCGAGCATTATCTCTCTCCCTTGGCCTTCCTTCTCAGTCTTACACCATCTTTCTTCGTTTTCTTTTCTTCTTGCTCTGCCACACCTCCCTTATGCTACAACTGCTTCCTTCTTTCTTTCTCTTTCTCTTACAAAGTTTCCCTTCCCCGTGTTCCCCTGCCGGTTCGACCATGGTGGACGTAGGACAAAAAAGTGGTAGGGTCCAGGTATAAGGGCAAATTCTGAGTTATATATACGTACCTATCCATACTTTAAAACTTGCATGAAAATGCAAAGGTTTTCATAAATTTGAACAAATAGTTAGCTTTAATGATGAGATCAAAGTATTTTTAAATTTGTATGATGAAATAAAATTATATTTTAAGATTAAAGAAGTTTATATTATTGTTGTATAAAATATTGGTATTAATATATTCTACTAACTAACTGAATTATTATGTTTTTGATTTTATTTTTATTATGTTTTTGATTTTTTTATTTTTATTACTAATTATTATGAAGGAAATATTTATAATTCCATCATCATCAATATAAATATTTATGGAATATAAGAAGTATTATACTATTGTAAATTTAAAACTAAATAAAATTATTTATTTATATAATAATATTTATATAATTATTATATATTTTTAATACTATAAATATATTATTAAAATTCAATCACTAAATAATCATTATTATAAGTATCATTTGATTAAAAAAAATTAACATTATTACATTAAAAATACATATCAGTAATTTAACGCCACCTATCATTATTGAGTTTTATTATCATTGACGCCATAATATTTCTCTTTCTGCCTCTCACATATATTTACATTTTGATTACAAATATAATTAGAGATAAAAAAATAATTAATGATTAGTGAAAATTAATTGCTTTATTATATACATAAAAGCAATTAAATGAATAATATTAGTAAAATATATTAATAGAAATAAATAAAATATATTCGTCGCTCAAGAATTAAAAAAACAAAGAATAAATAAAGTGGTTACTTAAATATGTAAAGAATGGAAAAGCATAAGTAAAATCGTTTATCGTCAACCGTTGTCTAACACAGACGATCTCTTTAACTTCGTGTTCAATGAAATTCGATTGAAGTCGTTGCCAAACAACTACTTCCCTCCAGGTAAATTACAAGCCGACGCACTGATTTATCTTATCCAACTGCTTTAACCACAAATTTGTCGTGACGTTCTACGTAATTCTATCCAATATGCAATGTCAACGCTTTTTCCATTTCTTTTTTTTTTCTAATAGAATGTTTTCCAACATTGTTAATGAAATATTTAATTTTTTTTATTTTTATCTTTTATTTTATTTTATAATTTTAATAAAATGATGAAATTATATTCATAATAAAAAATATATTTTATAAAATATCTCTCAAAATTTTCTTATGTTCCAAAATTCAATTTTGTATACGCATTACTCTCTGTATTTAAATTAGAAACAATTATAAATTTTAGTTTGTCGTATAATTAATGGAAATAATATTATTGAATATAATCGACGATAACCGAAAAAAGAACGAAGAATTGCCGAAAGAAGAAAAAAAATAGAAACAGAAGGAAAGCGACGAGAAACGGTCTACCGAGCCGCCGAAGAGAGAAAGAGAGAGACGGATTACGAAAAGACCATTTGCGAGCAAAAGTGAGGAACTATATAGTAACGCATTGGTACTACTTGCACAAGGCGGAGCGAGCAAGATGAAGCAACGGCGTGGCGGAACAAGTGAGAAAGAAGAAGAGAATGAGTGAAAAAGAGAGACAGAAAGATAGAACGAATGGCGCGCAGCAGTGGGGGAAGAAGAGGGAGAATTACGATGAGAGGGTATAAGAGAAGGAGAATCTCCGTTTGATCTTGCCGCCGCACGCGATCCCACACACATATATGCGCATATTCTGGCCTCTCAATATGGATTCGCATGAATGCACCAACACATCGCGCCAGTTAAAATCTCTCTTCTCTCTCACCTTGCCACACAGTTCTGGGTGCTTCGATCGACAGTGCACAGCCAGGGTACTCTGTTGCTCTTGGATGTGTATAATAAACACCGTGCGAGCCAACTCAGCCGAGTCGCCTATAATTTCTCGCGGAAAATTATATGTTAATGCGCCCTTAATGGCGTCGTTCGTTAACGGGATCGTTGTACAGGCCCAAGGGATAGAACCGTGCCGAGAGCGCAATTCGATTCGCTCGAGCATGCCGCGAGCAGCGCGCGAGTCGTCATTCAACAACCTCGCGATCATAGTTTCTTGTATTGCCTTTTCTTCTTGAATATATATATATATA